TGTAACAGTCACGCGCGCTACTACTGTACGTCATATCGACATGTGATTAAAGCTATAAACCACGCTTGAAAAACTATTCAATTAATAAGTATGTCAATATAGCGTTCGTCTTTGAAACTCTGCACTATCCTTGGATCCCTAGTTTAATATCGGTACAACAAGTGCAACATCTTTTTTCCTTAAAATTAAATCGAAGGGAAAATTTTTAATATTGATTTTTGACGTTTTTTAAATTTTCTAAGAAACGTATCGATTTAATTTTTTTAAATTGAGGGAAAAAATCATTATACAAGTATTATCTTTTATGTAAAGTTTTAAAAAATTTCACCGAAGGAACTTTTTAAAATGACCTGAAAAAGACAAATTTTGAGCTTTATTCTAAGCATGCTGTTGCCATGACAACATATTTTTAACACATGGGTAGCAATTTGCAATGTTCAGGAGAACATTGTCAATGTGTCCAATAAATTTCGTTTTCATGTCATGTAAAGTAAAGAAACAGGAGTCTCCTGAATACTATAGTGTAGTAAATTAAAAAACCCTAGGGAGCCACCTTAAAAGCAGTAAAAACTCAATCAATTTTAGTTGCTCTGTCACAACAGTGCAAAAAGTAGGACAATTAGCAAAAAAACGCTTTCCAGCGTGAAAAACTATCGTAAACAGTATTTAATTTACCAATATAAACATTGATGCTATATTTATACTGAATATAGTTGACAAACTTGATCGAATAGGCTACAATAAAGCATAATTTAGCTCGTAAACAATACCTGCAGCTATTGTATTTATTCCAAATGATGCAACAAAGTTCACTTTTCAAAATACCGAAATATACGTTTTTTTCGAAAAAAAACTTATTGAATGTTCATACTAATTCATCAGGAAACACTTGGCCAGTATTATATATTGGCGATCAAATCTCGTACTCGTAGTCAAATCTAAAGCTCCCTATTACCTGTTGAACTGAAACAATCTACTAATCTTAATCTCATTAAATCTAAACTAAAACAATTTATCTAATTAAGTTGAGTTTTTTTTCTAACTACGAAGTATAATTATATATAATCCATTTGTAAATATCCTATAGTTTTTAAATAAGCATAGTATAGTCAAGGCCGTAGCGAGGGGGTATTGGGGGGGGGGGGGTTAACCCCCCCCC